CCGACATCTGCGGCCCACCAGCACGCAGAAGAGTCAGGTAGAAGGGCGGCAAAAGGAGTTGGGGGCAATCTTCTTGTCAAATGAGTCATTGAACGGCCCACCAGCACGCAGAAGAGTCAGGTAGAAGGGGCGGCAAAGGGAGTTGGGGACAATCTTCTTGTCAAATGAGTCATTGACGGAGCGCACGTCTGGCAGAATCTCACCAAAAATCACATTTGGTGGCAGTCCCCAAACACGTTGGTGGACACCAGCCACGCAGGATGCCGGCAATCTGAAGGAGGAGTCGTTTCGGGCTTTTTTTGACATTCTGGGGGACTCTGGAGGCAGCTGACGGGTTTACCGGCTGGCCGAGCGGACCGTAGCTCTGGTGGTCACCTAAGCGTGGGAGTTCGGTGAGGCCATGGGGAGCGGCGTTGAGGAAATTCTGGTCCACCGTCTGACATCAGGACGGGGGAAGCTGCGCATTCTTAACACTCGGCACTGCTGGCCGGGACTCGGGATGTTGCGAGTCGATGGGGAGGGGACGTCAAAGACCGCCTCGGTTCCACCTTCCCATGGGAAAGCAGAGTCTTGGGTCTCGCTCTCCTCTCTCCGGGGGGTTGAGGTCAACAAGGTGGTTAAAAAACACCCCGGGGACTCGGCTCCGAGGAAGGATGAGATCCGCCCGGAGTTCTTCAAGGTTCTGGGGGGGGATGCCTTGGCTGACACGCCTCTGCAACTTTGTGTGCACATGAGAGATGGTGCCTCTGGATTGGCTGAGCAGCAGATGGGCACCTCCAAATGTGAGACCGCAGTCCTCAATGGGACTGCAAAAAGGGTGGCGTGCTTTCTCCAGGACAGGAATGGAATCCTGCCCCCTAGTGGACGAGTTCAAGTATGTTGGAATCTTGTTCGCGAGTGAGGGAAGGATGGAACGGGAGATTGACACAAATCAGTGCAGGGTCATCACTGACTTGTCAGTTTGTTGTGTTGAAGAAACGGCTCGTCTCTCAATTAACTGGTCGATCTAAGTCCCCATCCTCACCTCTGGTCACGAGCCGCGGCTGAAAGAACAAGATCACGGATGCAAGAAGCCAAAATGCATTTCTTCCGAGCTCTCCCGAAGAAAGATGGTGAGAAAAGCTCGGTCACCCGGGAGGGGCTCCTCGTCGAGCCGCTGCTCCTCCGCATTGAGCGAAGCCAATCGAGGTGGTTCGGGCATCTGATGAGGAAGCCTTCTGTGCACCTGCACGGGTTCCAGTTCTACCCTGTAACCGTTTGGTGTTCTTGAACCTGTCATGGAAAAAAGTCCCTCCATGTCTGACGGTCGGCCTACGAACCCTTCGGGTCCCCCCCGAGAAAATTTGGACTAAGTGGCTGGGGAAATGGAAGTCCTGCTAAAGCCGCCGCCCCCTGCAATCCGACCCCAGATAAGCGGAAGAAAATTGCTTAGTCGTGCACCGCTTGACTGTACACCTGCGTAGTTTCTGTCAGCTTTTCACACACTCCCTCTTGCTCCCCTTTGACTCGGAAGGCGCACTGAACATTTGCATGAATTGTGTTTTGCGCCAATACATTTCAGCTTCTGTCTGGAGGGCGCAGACTCCTCACGGCGCTTGCTACACACTTGCTGTCATGACCTTTTCCGCTTGTGCGAACCAACCGCTTAATCACGCAGACGTCACGTGTCTTAAAATAAGACCGGGGGGGGGGGGCAGAGGAGGAAAAATCCGTGAAGGAGAGCGAAGGAAAACGCTCTCAGATTACATATTTCCATCGTACGCGGTTAGGTCATCACAAAAGGTGGCACGTTCAAACAAACAAAGTTGACCAACTTCTGGCTTTTTGTCGATAGGGGGGGGCTATCGCCAATCTTTTCTGTGTCTGCTCTCACCTTTGTTGTCCTTGTGCGTGTGTGTGTGTGTGTGTGCGTGTGATTTTCTGAAGGTCTAACTTCTCTGTATGCTTTGGCTCCTCTCCCGGCGTAGATGTATTCCAACTGTGTGGCAATAGGTGACGACTTCATCGCTCTTCAACCTCTCTCCAGAGCCAAGAATCCGCTGGGCAAAATTAGGTAGAGGACACGAGACAGAGTCAGCCCCCCCCATCCCGACTTTGAAATACACTGTGTTCCAAGTTATTTTGGATGGGAGGATTTCCGTCAAACGAACGTTTTCGTCTTTTTTTTTTTTCTTTTTTTTTTTTTTCCGACCGTGTGTCTAAATTGCTATCAGTCTCGGGCAGGTTTGTTCATTTCTCAGATGAGCCAAATGAAAGGAACGTTCACAATTCGGTGGCTCGCAGTTCCTGCAATCTTAAAGCTCGTACGAAGAAACGACCGTGCGCCAAGAGTTGTTTGTTGCTTGGGCGTCATGTTGCAACGTTCACACCGGCTCGCCTTAGTCGTTACTTTTCTTTTTCTTTTTTTTTTTCTTTTTTTTTTTGCTTTGCGGGTCTTGCGTTTGAGGCGGCGGCCGAGCCGGAAGCCGCTCGATCCGCCAGCCGGCAGCGCTCACTGTGCGCATCTTGTGTCCTTCAGATGGAAAAGGGCGAGGGTTGAGTCGGCCCACAATCTGACTCTGTTAAGGCCCGTCGGCGCCCAGGGGAGGACAATTGGCACCTGCTAGCTGCTTATCCTCCCCCACCCCGCCCGCCCTCAGCCCAGACCCTTGACACCCCCTAGGTAGTAACGTCCGACTCTCCCATTG